AAGTTGTAGTGGACCTGCCTTCTGTGCATTGATGTGTTATGTGTTGAGTCTTAGTCAGTCTGTGCAGAGCCTTATCGCTGACTCGCTGAGGCTCCATTCTATTGGGAAGCGTCAATCTGGTTCTTTCTCCAACGGCAATGGCGGCAAGTCAAAGTCAAGGTGCAGTCTCAGCGATAAGGCTCTGCCTAAACCCGACCGAGACACAACACAACATCAATATGCACAGAAGGCAGGTCCGCTACAACTTTGCAAAGTAAAGCAGCTGCTGGAGCCCTATGCAGTGGGCCCCCCGATGCAATCCAAAGGTTATAATTCCGGTACACACAATGGATGCAGGACAGGGTGGTCTACCTGCCAGAAGGGGGGGGTCGCAGTAGCAATGAGCGAAGTTTTTGAGCGGGCCAACCACGGCGATTTTTCCAGGTCAGGATTGTTGGTTTGCACGCTTCCGCTTCTTACAACCAGGGGATCCTGTACAGCATCGAGCATTGCTCCGGACGGGGGATCGACTGCCCATTTAGTCCATGCCTTATGAGCAAAATACCCCTTATGAGCAATACCCCTTCCCTTGGGTAGCAGTCCAGCCTTGCAGGAGGAATGAATGATCTGGCCTGTGTTTTTCTTTCCCGTATTCGAAGGTCATCTCAGTGTAACCATTTTTCTTTAAATGCTTCTTTTCCGTTTTGCCTTTCTGACGTCTGTGGGCACCTTGTGTCTGCAGGGAGGTGTGGATGATCTGACTTCTGATTTTCTTTCTTCTTTTTGTTGCTGTGGTCTGCCGGTGCCTCTCGTGTGTGCAGCCAGAATGGATGGCACCAGAGGTCTTACGGAATGAGCCATCGAACGAGAAGTAAGTTGATTACTGTACCGATAGTTTTCGCCCTTTTCAATGATGACAGAATTTTGGTTCGGCCAATGTTAAATTTCAACCATGGTCTGAACTTTTTAACTTTTTAACTTTTGAAGTTTTGAGCTTATTTTTGGCAAAAGTTGAGTGCTCAGATTCTTAGGACTCTCGAGTTCCTGGACTCTGATGACGATTCTTTGGCCTTTGCACCTCCTCAGTATGGATTGCACTGCTTCAAGTTGGCAGTGTTTAGATTCCTTAGAAATATTTTTTTGCTTCTAAACTCACATTGCAACAATTGGACTGATCCTCGAAAGGCTGCGACAAGATCGAATTTCGGACAGGTTAGGAAATCCTTCGCTTGGTCCTTTAGGGCATCCGTTATAATTGGAACGATACCAAGAAGATTAGCATGGTCTCTGCGCAACGATGACACCCATAAATTGGAAATGGTCCAAATAAAGAAAAAGGAAATTTGTCACTCCAAGATTACATGAAAGGATTCATGAGGGTTAGCGCCCTGTGCCGGTTTCAGGTCCATTTTCCAGTTGTATATAGGCCTGCCTGCCCCCTTGCCGAAGTTTTCGGGAGGTACAGTTGCAAGGTCGTAGGCTGGGGTCTTTACATCCCTGTGGATGTCTGGAGGGGTTAGAAGGGCCGTTAGTTGTCCGCCGGTTCAGGAAGGAAGGTCCTATGACGGACGGAATCATTACTTACCCTGGCCAGGGCTGCCAGGGCCAACGTCACAATTCCTATTTTCGATCCACCACATTAAGTACGAAAGTCGAGCCACAGCCAGTGCATGGGACTCCTTGGGCATGCGGACGTCCCGGAAGCTGGAATAATCTGGAATGCGGCGGGCCATGGCATTGCCCGGAAGACCTAAGAAATGCATACTAGGAAAAGAAACTCTAATTCACACCAAAGAAAGCAATCCAAAAATGACTTTGGCCTTAGGTTCCTGTAGTTTCACAGAAATCGTCATTTATGATAGCGCAAATTTAAAACAGATACGGTTTGGTATTCCCCCTCTAAGCGACTGTAAGTAGCCTAAGGCCGGCAGAGGATAGGCAACCGCGACGTGGATGCCGTGTGAATGATCAATGGAACCTGTGTTCTTCACAGGACCCTTTCTGATGTCTGGCATCGATCGCTAGTATGGTCCCTAAGTCGCCCCCAGTGTTTGCACTTTTGGGCCAGCTAGAATTCCAACCAATTGCGAACTTAGGATCCTCGGAGACACGGTGGGTAGTAGACCTTCCAAGGACTGGTTGATCCAGTAGTCTCCTTTCATGACACTGTCAGGCGATCCTCAGCGGTCCCCACCCACCCCAGGGTGGGGTGGGGTCGGCTCCATTCTTTGCTTAGCCAGGCAGCGAAGCTGATGAGCGGAAAAAGGGAATTGAACCCTCAACCTTAAGCCTTGGCAAGGCTATATTAGACCATTAAATTAAATCCAGTTTATAGAGTCAGCCTTGATGGCCTCCAAAACGTTCGATTGCTTTAATGGTCGCATCTGCAAACTAGAAACTTGTTCGTTGTGGTGGATGCACCTGTCAGTGAGCCTATTATCCTTCGACCTAGTTTTCAAGTTTCCGATGGTGATCTTATTAAATTTCTCTTTGACGAAATTGCAAGTCAGCCGTCAAACAAAAGATAAGCTATAACGTTTGACTGCTACCTTCTTCCCCCGAATACAACGTACGGTCATTATAGCTGTATTTGAGGCATCTTTCAGTCTAGATACAGCTATTATGACCGTACGTTGTATTCGGGTGAAGAAGGTAGTGGCAAATATGCCGCTTGAGCCTTGAGGTAATAAAAAACTCAAAAAATGAAGAGCCTTGAGGAAATAAAAAAACTCAAAAAATGAAGTCCCTGAGTTTGAAATCCGACTATAGTAACCCGCAATAAAAAGAGAAAATGAAAGAAAGAAAGACCAAACACATCGTCCTACGAGGTAGGCACCCCCTGAACTAGTGCTGATTGGAGCGGACTGTGATACGTACTCAGTCGTGACCCACATCGGGAACGCAACGCCCGGTAATGAAATTGTGTTGGCTATTCTATTTTATGCTATTACCACCATTATCATCAATTCCACTTTATTCCATGGTGTGCTCGCGGTTAGAGGTCAAAGGAAGAGAACCGAAAACGCTATCGCGAGCGCGGCTCGTGGTTCAACCTCCACTCCATCTGGACCTGTCTTGACAAACCAAAATGTGTGTTTCCCCGAGCCTGAAATCTAAAGTGCCGCCGCGAGGAAAAGTAGTTGCGGCGCTCTTCCCTGTCGAACCTCGACCGGGCCTGGGCACTGTAGATTTTGGCCCTGTACTTGGTGACAAGAAAAATGAACAGTGAATGTTGGATTGGCGGTCTAAAGCATTCAACTCACCCATTCTTTTCTTGTCCTTGGTACTGCCATCCTACCCTGGTACTGCCATCCTATCTTGGTACTACCATCCTACCCTGTAGATCTTGTCCTTGGTAATGCCATCCTACCCTGAGCTGCTGACGGAGTCATCCCCTTCTGCCGGTTCAAAGTTACGTCTTGTCCACTGCTCGGGCAACGTCGTAGTTTCCATGCATGTCAGGTGGGATCATTGACAGTGTACGCATTATCTTATAAGTAATAATATTCTAGGCTACCAGACTAGCCAGGAACCACTTGCCCTGCCGAGGTAAAAAAAATTAAAAAAATAAAGATAAAAGAATTGTTTGTTTAATCTTATCTTTTATTTTAAATTTGTTAAAAATTTATGTCACCCTTATAATAATGATAAATAATAATGGGCCTGAAAGGCCATCCTGTCCAGATTTGAGAGGCAATTGAATTGGTTGGGCAATTAGTCGTTAAAAAGAAAAAAAGTTGTTCTTTCTTTTCTTTTCTTTTCTTTTGCATAACAGTGATAACACAATTATTTTTTCAGATTTTTTTTTTTTTTTTTACTGGGACCTTCTGTGGTCCTTGCACGGCCGGGCAGGCCGGGCAAAAAAGGTGATCCGGCAGCCCAGCTGGTAGCCTAGATAATATCTGTATATTTTGAAGAAACTTGGGCTTGCTGGTGGAAAGGGAACCTGTTCCAGACTGCCCGCTTTAGGATCCTGTATACTTAAGAGGCAGCTGTACTATAGTTAGGGTAGTTTGGGCTAACCAGTCATAGGAGAGGGAAGGCTGGAACTGCAGCTTTCTGAGCTTTTGAGGTCCCTAGAGAAAGACCTCAGGCTGCAGGCCTGTGCCTGCAAGCTATAAGCTGGATGATGCTTCCAAGTATCGTTTCCGGGCGCATTGTGGAAGTCCCCAGCCACCAGTTTGAGCAAGTAATTGGAAGTTGAATTTCGAAGGGGAAAAAAAGAAGGGTTACCGACTTAACTTACCAGACCTCAGAGCCCCCCAGAATAGGACGATGGATCGATGACCTTAAAGTTTAAACTGTCATGCCCTTTCGCAATTATTTTGTCCTCAGCTGATGCGGCAGCTAAACCACCACTATCTTTCCTGCTGTTGGGAAAACGGGAAAATATCCTACTCCTAAAAAAGAGGGGGACAGGCCCGACAATGGCCGCCGTTGATAAATCTCATCGGCGGCCGTCGATTCATCTCGGCCTCCTAAAGGGGCCGGACGGCGGCGGCCCACATGGGAAAAGGTAGGTCGTGGTTTAACCGATCACAGATTTCGAGGCTCGGCCTCCCGTATCGAAAAGGCTGGCGGGGTGCCAGGCAAAATACAATGTTGCGGATTTTTTGCCTGTGCCGGTTCTCTTTATTTGGCGGGCCGGGGCGTCAGAAATCTGGATTGGGAGAAAGAGTCCTGGAGGGTCTGGTGTTCTTCTTCTAAGGAACTAGCGCCATCGAACTGACCATTCCCAGAGAATCCCAGGTAATTCAGAGTTATTTTACTTATCAGGATTCAGGGTTCCTGGCTTAAAAAAAAAAAAAAAAAAAAAAAAAGGTTTCAAACTCAGATCTGTCTATTGACAGTTGATGCGCGCTCTCCATTCAGCCACATGCGCTGTTTCTCTCTCTTCTTGCTTTGAATCTATGATTGTTTGAATTTCCCTTTTTTTTTTTTCTTTGAATTTCTTTCAGAATTTTGGAGCGAAAAGGGACAGGTACGGGCCTGCTGCTCTTCTCAACAGAGACGGAGCAATCTCGACAGGCTGACTCGGAATCGAAAGCTCCATGCAGCGTGGACGTCAGGGGCTCACACTCAGGTGGAGAATAGCAACAAGTTCCGGGGCTCTATACCTCCTCATGCTTTAGGATCGAGGAGAAGTCTAATCTCCTCCTCCGCATTTAGAGAAACATTTTGCAGGGTTGTGCCTCTGACAATGAGTGTAATCACTGTTCTTGAGTGCTTAGACTGTTCCCTGGCCTGCAGCTCACCCCTCTTCCCTTTTACCATCTTGTTATGGTTTTATGTTGGCAGAGCGGATGTCTACAGCTTCGGTGTTGTCCTATGGGAGCTTGTTACCCTGAAGCAGCCATGGGATGGTATGAATCCCATGCAGGTGAGAAGACGACACCATACACAACTACTAAATGCGTACGAAATTCAATGAGAGCATAACCAAGACAACCGAAAATACGTGCATTGCCAAGTGTACACAGCCATGGATGTGGCCTTCTACCCTTCAGAAGACGAGAGCGAAGCGGCCATTCTGCGCAAGTCACAGTGGTGATTGTTTAAGAAGTAAAATCACATGGCAAGACTGTCCCAATCTTGATAACTGTGTATCTGGGCGGAAAACTAGTGGTTATGCGTTAAACTTTGTCTAAAACACGTGAGGCCTAACATATTAAAAAAAAAAAGGAAAAGAAAAAAAAAACATTGTATTAATAAATTTATTAGCTTCGAAAATTGAGGCCGGGGGAACCTCACAATTCGACCCGGAGTTTTCGCCTCTCCGGGCTCTCCCCTTTCCTATTTAGTATTTGCACTTCTTAAAAGTCATCGCTTCACCATAGAGACGATTTCGGGCAAAATAAATTCCTGTGTGTGTGTGTGTGTGTGTGTGTGTGTGTGTGTGTGTGTGCAATGTGCATGCATAAACTGTGTGATTTATCTCCGGTACACCATATGATAGATGTACTCCTAAAGGCCACGCCTCAGGAGAAAAAAGCATGCATGGATGCTTGAAGACAGTTCTCACACAAACAGAAACGAATGGGAGTTGTAAGAATCTTGGAGATTCAGATGGGTGGAAGACAGGAGAAGTGGAAGAATGGAAAAGAGAAAAGAAAGATTCAGACATGGGTGGAAGACAGGAGAAGTAGCAAGCTCTTTTTTTTTTTTTTTTTTTTTTTTTTGGTTGAATGCTCCGGTCTATTGGTGGGGAGCCTCACCTGCTGGAAACCGGGTTCAAAGAAATAAGCCAAATGTCTGCCTGCCAGCATTGATTGCCCTGGAACCCAGGGGATTAACTGAGCAGGATGTAGATATGTGAGAAAAGGGTTAGGGAGGGAGGAAGCCTCTTCGCTCAGCTGCGGGGCGCCTGACTATAATTGGCCGCCTGACCCTCTTCCTCTCCCTGGATGCAGCACTTGAGAGTCTGGGAAGTCTGTTTTTTTTTTCTGAGTTGCTGAGAAGCCATCAGCCAGCACCCCCCGGGGGACACCGGGATCGGGGAAATCAGCCGGGGGTCTCATCGGGAAGGATGGGTCTACGTTAGTCCAGTCATTGAATGCAAGTCTGTAGTCTCTCAAGAGTCCCTGCTCCGCCGCAATAGCCTGGTCCCCTGTCCATTCAACCTTGAGCAATCCAACCCCCCCGCTGCCCTTCCAGCCATTCCATGCAAAATGTGGCAATCACCCTCCTGATATCCCGATCTGTCTGAAAGATGTTTAGTTGAGGTTTGAGGTCACCCCATCTATGTGCCAGCTCTAAGTGAACAAATTCCTTTATTTGTCCAGTCAGCTCGGGCCCCTCTATTGTTTTTTTTTTGCAATCTAAACGCGCCCCCATGCATGGAAAGCATCTCACGAGTCAAACACAAGAATCGAACGTGCGACCTCCCTCTTGGGAGGCAAACACTCAACCAAATGGCTAAGTGGAAAGTTAAGCCCCAAGATGAACACTTAACCCCACCCCAGCACGGATTTCTCTGTGACCCGGTGTACCCAGTTACACACACACTCAACCACAGGTCGTCGACGCAACCGCCACACAACGTTTAACCGCACTGCAGGTTGCTACGCAAGTTGATAACCCCACCCCAGCACGGATTTCTCCGCGACCCGGTGTACCCAGTCACACACACACACTCAACCACAGGTTGTCGACGCAACCACCACACAATGTTTAACCGCACTGCAGGTTGCTNTCTCCGCGACCCGGTGTACCCAGTCACACACACACACTCAACCACAGGTTGTCGACGCAACCACCACACAATGTTTAACCGCACTGCAGGTTGCTACGCAAGTAGATGCAGGGAAAGCATCGCACGAGTCGATCACAAGAATCGAACGCGCGACCTCCCTCTTGGGAGGCAAACGTTCAACCAAACGGCTAAGTGGGGGGAGGCTCCATCTATTGGTGGGGAGCAACACTTGCTAGAAAACGGGTCCAGCGTATGGGGCCCCTCTATTGTTACTGCTTCCAGGATCAGTATGACGACTTTCACCGCCACTCACACACAGACAATCTCAGACATGACCATACATGCATAAGACGAAGGGGAGAGAAGTCCAAACTGTAGACAGATCAAAGTAGGCAACGGAATACAACCATGCACAGATGGGGAAAAGACACACAGTGTTTCTCGCTCTCTGACAAAACTCCCAACAACCAATCACAAGAAGACACCTACGTAGATAACAATAGGATTCACACTGATGATGGGCCAACTCAAACCAATTATCGTTACAGAGTTTGTTACAATATCTCGCCACTCTCAGCACTCCACACACCACTCTCTATCCTACACCCAGTTAGTAGCGCAACCCTTAAATGGCCTCCCAGAGGCTAGCGCCAACCGCCCAGATGGAGAACAGGTGCTGTGATGAAGCCTTCAGTGCCATTGAACAACTCTGACGAAGAAGCTGGCAGCTATGGCTGCCACACCACTGATAGAGCCCTGATAACTTCGGAGGAGAGATGGGCGATAGTGGTCCACCCACGAATCCTCAATGAAGAGCCTCAGTATAGCCCAGCCAGACATAGATACCCTCAAGGGTAGATGCTCCCAGGATGCCCCAGCTATGGCAACCTCCAGAAGGCTGGCTATGGTTGTCGTCCATGAAGAGAGTCTCGGGATGCCGCCTGCAGACAATCACCACCACCAACTTGCTTGGCTCCAAACGTTGCCTCCCGAAAATGAACAGCCAAAAGTCCCTAAACTACGGGCTCCGTCCTATTAATAGACTAACCTCCTTGAAACCTAGAACTACTGGGACCGGTACCGTTCCAGTTTGGCCTGTTCGGCCTGTACCTTATCCGGCTATAAGGCGTAAGACTGTCGCTACAGCCCAAGGCCCGCTGGGCTTGCTGTCCTAGTGATAGTCCGGTACTGCTAGAGGCGGTGAGGGTACTAGAGGAAATTCGGGGTACCACTGGAAATATAATTTTCCCAGATTTACAGATCTTTCCCTCCTGGATTTCCCTCGGGCTGAACTCATGGTTAGTCCCTGACACGAACAAAATTATGAATCTGACCCTAAGACACGACTATACAACCTCGCAGTCAGATCTCGACAGCAAAAATCAGCAAGTCATTGTCGGCTTACCCTCCCGGGGAGCGAGGACCTCCGAGCTAAGGGTGCAAACGAGGAGATCGGCGAGGAAGGTTCCCTTTCTGAGCCGCCTCGTAAGGAAGTACTACAGACTTTGCTGTCTTGAGAATTTCTTTCCTGGTGAACCACCTATCCTCGGTATGAGGCTGGAAACAGAACTTCACAAGATACTGTCGGTCGGGGCCAGTGCCCCACTCATCCTTGATGGACTCCACGTCATATCCTTTGCCAGGGATCAGTGGACCAAACTAGGGGGCCGGTTTGGGAATGCATTAGCTGGGATGAAGGGAAGCAGCTTGGATGCATGGAAGACCGGATAGGTCTGTAGATGCAGTGGGACGTCGATAACGTACGATGGTCCAAAAGGATCGGAGCCCACTGTATCTAACACCTGCCACGGACCCAGGTATCGTGGCAACAGCTTGGGAGAGAGATCCTCTTCCCTCGACAACTCTGAATTGGCTACCCAGACGTAATCGCCAGTACGAATGCGGGAAGGATGTCGGTGGCGATTAGCTTGTTCAACTATGGTCTTTTGAGCCTTGAACAAGTTCGCCCGTGCCCTTTCCACATCGGCTCTGTAGCGTCTGGTAAACTCCGCCGTGCCAGGAGTCAGATCAGACTTAGCCTTATTGATGATGTCATCAAGAGGCTGTCGTGGCTCACGTCTCCAATGCAAACGATATGGATTGAACCCCGTTGAAGAGTGCATAGAGGTATTTTAAACAAGTTGTGCACGAGCCAGGTGGAGATCCAAGTCCTGTTGATCTGGAGCGATGACAGGCCGCGGCAACTGAAACAAGACATGGTTCATCACTTCAGCGTGACCATTGGCTTCGGAATGACGGCCAGAAGTCATGTCCAGTCAGGAGTGTAGGTAGTCCTTGCAGTAGAACTGCCACTCATTGTTGCATAATCGTGGATCTCTATCACTGACTATAGAAGTGGGCGGTCCATGGTGAGTGACCCACCTCTCTGAAAACGCTGCTCTCACAGCGGGGAGCCTAGCTACTTTTGGCAAGGGGATGAACTCTGCGTACTTAGAGAACCTGTCCACACAGACCATTACCTGACGCATGCCACGAGGGGTGGTCTTGCCTAGATCTGTAAAATCTATAGATACAGATTCAGCAGGTCCATCAGGTATGGGCAAGGGTTTGAGCAGTCCCAGAGGAGGTCTACGTTGGACCTTATTTCTCTGGCAGAGCTCACAGGTTTCAATATAGTGCAGCAGATCACTCCTCATCTCCTTCCAGAAGAAGCGATGCGACAAGGCTGCATATGACTTTAGGAACCCAAAGTGACAGCGTGCATCATGGCACTCTGACATCAGCAGAGTCCTCAGTCGCTGGTCCTGGGGAATGCACAAGCACTCCTCACCCTTGCTGTAAATATACAACAAGTTTGAACTCAGGGCATAGCCTGGTTCAGAGTTGGGATCTGGTTGCAGATTCCTGATTATGGGTCCATAAGTCGGGTCCTGAGGCAGTAAACGGGTAATGGTCTGACGAGTCTCCTCTCCAAAGGAGTGAGTGGAGGAGATCAGCGCAAAAGGGTCAGGCCTACGAGAGAGGGTATCTGCTACTTCATTGTAGCAACCCTTCTTATGTTTCAGTTCAAAGTCAAACATGTCAATGAACTGAATGTATCGTGCTAACTTATCGTTTAACTCTCCCTGGGATTTCATCCGCTGTAGTGTAGAATGATCAGAAAAGATCTTGAAGTGCCTTCCCAGGAGAAAGTGCTTCCAATGCTTTAGTGCACAGACAAGAGCATA